AAAGCGTGTGATGAACTGTGATGAACGATCAGCGCAGCTGGTATCATACCCGGAATTGGTCGCAGGATGTGTTTGTTTTTCTTGCCACTATTCTTGTTTTCTTCTGACTTCAGCGGCGGACGGCGGATTCGATATATTCTTCTCTAAGTGTGGTCCCTGGTTGGAACACAGATCAAACCCCTTTGCGGCGGATTCTGACCGCCTGAAAGACCTGGACTCCAAGCCTCTCTCTCTAGGACCTGGCAGGTCCTTCGGCCTTGGGACGGCGCAAACAAACCAACACAACGAGAATCACAGTCACACATTCATATGTTTAAACAAAAAGCAAGCAGCCAACCTGGCTCAAAACCTGGCGAGGAATGTCCAATCTACTCGGACTTTGATTGGCACAAGCCGCAAAATGCCACGATCAAAGTGGTCGGCGCCCCTCGGCGAAGGCTTCTCGGGAAGACGGGTCGAGTGGACGTGGAGAAGATCGGTGAAGCCGGGAAGCCACCAATCACCGTTTCGAACATGGCAGAACATGGCTGGCAGAGCAGTTGGTTTGCGTCCTTGAACGTGCACTTATTTTGTGGAACCACTGTGACTATGTTGTTAATGTAATGTGCTAAGAACTCAACATGAATATGAGTCAAGTTTCGAAGGATCAGAACGAACCATCTCGGGCCGTTTGGATTTCGGCTTCTTTCCGAAACACTGAGGTGTGCTTTGTGGTGTGTCCACTGGTTTGCGGGCTGTGCGCCTTTTTGGCCACTTGCCTCAAAGACTGTGGGACGAAGACTCCTCAAAGACTATGGTCAAAACGACATTGGGACGACAGCAGGCACCAACAAGGAGAGTTCATCACAACGAGTTACATGTTATGCCCGTTGTTTGCTGCTCTCAGACCTAGAGAAGAGGCACATGACCAGGCACATGCTCGGTCTCTTTTCAGTTGCCAGCTTTCTTTTTGAGGAACAGTGTTCGATCAGGTGACTCACCCTGCTTTGGCTGTGAGTAGTTTAAGTATATAGTATAGATTAGTATAGAACGTTTTAAGACTTCATTTTTCTTTCCACTGCTCGCTCAGTGTCTACCTTCAAGTCAGTTTTTGGCACAATCCTTGAGGATTCGAAGGCAATCGTGACGGGGGGTGAAATGGTAAGGTAAGATGCCGTGGCAGCCAAGCAGAGGCTGGACAAAAGGACCTCTGATCACAACTTCACTTGTGCACAGCCTGTGGCTGGAAGGGGAAGAGCAGTTGTGTCAACGGGCGTCAAGTCCGACACAAGACAACAAGCCAAAGCCCTTGTTTTGCTACTTGTGAGGTCTCAATCATTTTCGTCATTCAGCACCTTCAACCATGTTGTTTGCAAGTTCTACCTTCAGAAAACCGATTTCAAGCAAGCAGCAAACTCCTCCAGTTGGCGCGAACGCGCTAGTTGGAAGTAAGTGTCTCTTGATGTCTCTTGGCGTTCCTTTGTGTTTCTGATGTTTCTCCATGCATTGATGCCATTGGATCCACGCGACGCACCAGGAGCTTGATGTGGCAGCCGGGGTTTGATGCTGCACCCTTTGGTGCTGCAGTCATAGGTGCGGAGGGTTTGGATGGATGCCGAATTTCCTGGTTCTATTTCTGCTGCTTCAGCCCGTTTCGGACTCACTGAAAGAGTTGCGGATGAGTTCTTGGTGATGAATGATGGATTTACCGTGCAATGTCCATGGCAATGTTGCTAATTCTGGGAGATTACAATGATATAACATGATGATTCACAAGACTGTTTCAGACGACTTGCTTGGTCATAGAGGTGTACAGATGAGCATGGATTCACCAACAAACATTACATTGACACTCCCTGTGGCTCCCTTCGGGTTTGCGTTTGCAAGAAGCATGGTATACGCCGTTTTTATCCCACAGATCCTGTTGCAATGAGCACCACATCATCTCCCAGCCAAGTGTTGAGCAAGCAGTGATTACACACGCCTCCTCGTTCAGTGTCATCCCATCATTGGATCAGGTTGGCAATCTACTCGGCCAAAGCAAGTGTGGTTGCCAATTCACCCATGAACTGACCTGCATCCAGCATTTATCAGATTTATTAAGAAGCATCCTTGCGACTGCCTACAAGAGTTTAGGCAAAAGCATCCATGCTTCGTTTTTCCATTTCCATTTCGATTGCCTGCCAGAGCTTCAGGCATATTTCCAAGTACAGCCTGCCTCGACACGCTTGTGGGGACTCGTGGTTCAACCAACCCCTGCAAGTGAGACGAGCGATGGGAAACTATGGGTTGCACACGTTGTTGCTCAGGTAGAGAGGCTTTGAATCCCTACCCTTCTAGTCGTAACCGGAGCTTAACATAGCTTGACCCAATCACACCTGCTCGGCCCACTGGAGGCTGTGATTTGTCCTGCAATTTGAAGGGTTGGGAACGCTCTTCACCTGAATGTCTTCAGTGCTCCGTGCCTTCATAATGTTGGACAGTTGGGAACGAATGCCGGAAGCAATGAAATCACATGAGGATGATTGCAGTTTCTGGACAATGTCTTGGAGGCACCATTATGGCCTGACCGGGCCTGTTCAGATCCAGACTTGCCAGATTTGGATTGGAAAACAGGGCCGGCCAGACTTGCCAGGCTGGCCGAACTCCACATCGCCTCTCAGAGGTCACAGGTACAGGTGACGTCAGGCCATGGCATGGCATTTTTGCTCGTTTTGGGAAGGAAGCATGGCATCCTGGCACGTCCCATCTTGCGTTTGTTGCTCGTTTCATGGCCAGCATGTCACAGGGTGAATTGACGAGCAACATGTGTCTCCGGAATTAGGAAAGCCACGATTTGAACGATTTGTCACGTGCCACATCACGACATGCCGTTCATCCAAGCACGGCCGGCTGGCTGGAACTTGGAATTTCATTTTGGCAGACATTTGGATCTCATCCATCCCATTCGGCAAGACCGAACGGAACCTCGGAAACCATGTGCAATGTCTTTAGCATCGATTTGGAGTGGCCTAAGGATGTGGAAAGCTCAGAGCTTCATGTGAACATACCTGTTTCTTCCGAGGCAGTCTTTTATGCAGTCAGTTGATGTCCATTGGGCATTACCCAGCTGTTGCCCACAAGTCTTTTGACGTCTGAAGGAAATCCAGACAGTATTGACTCACTAGGACTAGGCCATCTCATCCGTTTTGTTTCTACATCGCCGGCTCCCGCAAGAAGGACATGCCCACCATGGGATCCAGTTCCATCAGCCCAACCACTCAGGTTCCATTCCGCCTCCCAGGTCTCCACTAGTCCATGGATGCCCCCACTCGCTTACCTGATCGTCCGTGGTCTGATCGCAGCGATCTTCATCGTTGGTCAGATCCTCCATTTGAACGACTTCATCGATGAGACGTAGCTGAAGAGAAAGAAAGGTCAAGAGGGGATAAGAGGGGGTTCACAGATACGAAGGCATGGCCAACGGATTTCATCACACCACATCAAGTGGAACGGAATCAATTATACAGCAAACGTGCACTTTGCTGCTTGCTGGATGGTGTGCTGAGGAGTTCGGGGCTTTCTACTTCATTTTCCTGACCAACTGGAACTTAATCTTACAGACCTTCACCACGATTTGCCTCTTCCTTTGCGCCATCTGGGGCTACACGGCCGCTCGGAGAACGCGCCACACCGGGTCTCACACCGGGTCTCGTGCCTGCAATGCGCGCCTCAAGCGGACCGAGCGGACGGACACCGAGGTCTCGCCGGAGAGCAGTGGGAAGGCACCGTGCTTCGTGAAATTCACGACGGCTTTGTGGTACATCATGCAGCCCTTGTCGATGAGACTCGGGTCTTCATTCGAGAAAAGAGACCCAGACAAGCTATAGGTGTGGCTTTTTCTGGGTACGTGACCCGCAGGAGTTTTTAGGAGCTTCAGGAGCCCAAGTGGATGCCATTGATGTCAATAGTTGGACATGTGCAGCGGGGATTTGGATCAACCCTTAGTATTGTTGACGGGCGCTTTCCATGAACCTAGCCTTGCAGATTGAGCACTGTAAATTTTGGAAACCTTGCTTCTATTTTCTTTGATTCTTTAGACTGTCTTTGCTTGTAAAGGATGCACATGTCTTTGTTTTGGAACTTCCATCCAAAAGCTCACTACAAAAGGTGATTTTTTCTGGAAGGAGAGGATTTGTGATGTGCCTGTCACTTGGAAGGAGGAACCCCTGTTGGTGAAAGCTCCTCCCAGCTCTCTGGATCGACGAAACGGCTGGGCCGTGCTACCCGAAAGGGTTGGGCGCAGAACGAAAAACGCCCGTAACCCGAGGATCGTGGTGATTCTGCCTGGTGCTCAGTACAGGTGTTGCAGCATGTTGCAGCCATATAGTGCCATATAGTCACTGCTGTTCGCAGCTGTATGCCGCTGGCATGATGCGTGCGTACAGTTGAGTGATCCCTCTAGTGTTTAGCCCACACCTGGTGGTTAAGGGGGCACTTTCTTTGGACGTAGCGACATCCACGTGGTTGGCTACTTTGGCAACAGAGTGTTTGGAATTGAGGGATCGTAGTACGTAGTGGTTCTTATTTTGAGAGTGTTGTGCTGTGTGTGCACACCTTGGAATCACAGGTAGACCGAGCACGGGGGGGTCAGGGACCAGGGATGCACACGGAAACTGGCACCAACGAAGACGGCAGCGTTGCCGTGAAATCGATCAGGTTTCTTAACTACAACCATCTACGATCCACTGGAGTCACTTAGAGTCTCGAATGCTTATTTCCAGGTTTGCAGAGGTCGTGCTGCAGTTAGTTTGCTCATGCCTTCTGCAGACTTGCACTCGTTGTTTGATCTTTGCGCCTGATTGAATCGTCACATTGCAAACCTTTGGAATTCCATAGTCAGACCCGCGGCCCGCGGCATTTTGTACCTGTCGATTTAGGCCTTTTTGGTTACTTAGGCATCTTCGGGGCTTGTGGCATTCCGTCCGTACGTTATTGCAAATGTGTGCGTGTGCGTGTTTCAAGCAGGGGGGAGATCACCATCGCAAGACTCCTGCCAACGAAGACGCTTGCAAGCGATGGTGAAACCAGACCAGTCTAGCATACCACCTGCAGTGGTGACTTGATATTACCTGCAGCGGCTTGCTGCAAAGCAGTCACGCATTGGCGGACTTTTGGAATCCTTTGGAGTCGTCACAATTAAGAAGTGATCCTTTTGGAACCACTGTTTCTTGGGAAACGGTTGTTGTTTTTTTTGGGGGCTTGGAGATGCTATGCCAGTCCATTTGGGCTTCTCTGGTTGCTCAGGCGTTCTCAGGGTTTGGGGAATTCATGTCGTGCGCACACCAATTGCTATAGTGTTTGAGGATGTGGTTTCTTTGAAGACAATGCGTCAAGGGAAGGAGGGCTGACCCCCCACTTCCAAGCAAATGATGGCAAGAAACTCTTGCTTTTGCAAGCCACATATGTGATGGGGAGCCTTGAACGGATTTCCCCGAGTCGTGCGGGAGAACGAGCTGTCTCGGAAGAGCAGCTCCTTCTGTTTTGAACTGTTGCAGCTCCGTCCAAGGTATTGGACTGTGGTGAATCAGTTTTGGGATTCTTAGCTTCGAACACGGCCATGGCCATGGCGAGCATCATGTTTTACTTTGGGTTTTGCTCTCTTGGTCACTGGTGTGCGGTCCTTCTTTTGGGGTGTAATCCTTGTTCATTCCTTTGCCCTACAAGGATCCATACCCGGTGACGTTCTCTTCTTACTGGGCCCATTTGTTGAACTGGATGGTCCTCCTCTTCAGCGGCTTGGCAGACAGGAACAGGCATGTGCCTGCGTGTGCCTGCGGAGACGCGCGTAGATGTGAAGAGGCGATGGTTTGATTCAGACTTAGGCCACTCATATGTTTGAAATACCTCCTGCCTTAGGGGGAGGGGATCTACCCCCTACCCTGGATTAATTAATTTTATGAATCCGGGGTACCTCCACTATTTAATCCTGAGCTGCTCTAGGTCTGGATTAGGAAATTAACATCTTTTTAATCAGAGGGGTCTTAGTCTCAACAAGATCGTAAGCAAAAATGACAAGGGGGGTCCACCTATTTAATCCTGAGGGCCTCCACCTAATTAATCTGCAAGTTTTCAGAAGCCAGCCATAGGGTGGTTCACCACTCACATACCCTTGGATTCATTTCACACCTTTTTGCTCTTTCTCTTCGGCCTCCTCACTCTATTCCGCATTCCGGTACGCTGTGCAGCTGACCCCTCCAGACTGAACAGCACAAAAATCACAAAATTAATCCACAGGTAGTTGAGTTCTTGCTATCCTTCAAGTTTATTTATCCACTTTCTGCTTCCCCCCCCCAACCTTGTTTTAAACTGTTTGATGACTTCTTGGTGGTCGACCCCCTCAAGATTTTTATATGAATTTGGGAAATTAATCCAAATAATGAAATCATGATTTGTCTCACCGCTGCTCAGCACACTTGTCAAACTGAAAAACGACTAGAATTGGTGTTTGATAGCCAAGTTCTTCTCTGCTCAACCCTGCGCAAGGTCTCTTTGCATCGCGGATTGATTTCTCTCCGAAGAATGGCATCTGGCTGATGCTACGCGGCTTTTTGAAAGAGCATGTCTTACCTGGACATTATTGCTGTTCCCCAACTAGGTTTACCGGCTGCCCCGTGAGGGTCTATAGTCTTACTCCGTGCTTGTAGGGTGCTTTTGCTGGAGATCCTCGGGATTTCTCCGCTGGTCTCCGGCTGTTTGCGGTTTTGCTGGGTCGCCGAGCTGTCTCCGCCCGGTCGTCCGGCTTGGTGCCGCGTTGGACGACGCTATGCCGTTCTTGTGCTTGTTTTTTCTATCAGTGCACAGGTCCCCAGAGCCAAGCAGAAGCAAAGTGCAAAACAAACCAGCGCCCTATTTTCGTGGCAACCATAACTACATGCAGGCACAAAACAAAGAATACGACTTGCCCGATCAAGCTTGGGCCAGAGCCAAGCGAAACGAATTGCATTAGCAGCGGCCAGGCATGCAGCCACAGGGAAGACATGATTTGCTAGACAAGCCAAGTGACAAGCCGCAAGCCCTTAGTTTGCTTCTTAAGCAATGCATTTATGGCCCAAAGTCCAAGCACATCCAGTAGTTTTGCTTGCACCTCCGCCTGAAAGCACCATTTCCTCCATGAGAAGTCAGGAGTCAGAAGAGTTTTTGGTCAAAACCTTGGCCTGTCTTTTTCCATAGATTGGTGATAGTTAGTTGGTTTGGTGACGGGGCACTGGGAAGTGGCATTCCGAATTCCCTCATGTGTGATGTGACAAATTGTGGCAATGCGAACCATGTCAATAGTGGTGCGGCGTGGCGTATATTTGATCAAGTCGGTTTTGTTGGAGTCCTACCGTCGGCTACCGCTTTGTTGTCCTGCAAGTGGGCAACGTCCAGCAAGTCACTGGATGGGTCGAAAAACATTTAGAGGCAGATGAAAAGCACAACCACCAAATGCTATACTTCTTTGCAAGTCCCGCACCAGCATGTGCATTCCGTGGAGAATGGATGTCATTCTTTTGCTAAGTCGAGTCTTGGTTTCACGCCTTGACCACCCTTGACCTAAGCATTTTCGTCTTGATCTACTTCGTTTGGACCATCATCCACTACGTGGCCGAGATCGGCCGAGAAAAACCTTGTGATAACTACCCGCAAGAGGCCGGTCCGGCCACGCAGCCATCACTCGGGGCGTTGTGCGTGCGAGGCGAACCCAAGAACATCTAGACCATCTCAGACACAGCGTGTGGTAGTTGCCTTCAGTTGCTTCTTGCTATTTGCCTGCCTGTTCCCGCCAGTTGTGCCCGATCTACGACCTCTTCAATTGGAACGAGCCTGGTCTCACCATTGGTATCACCATCGCGGCCTTGGTGGCTGCCGCCGTGGTGATTGCCCTGTACTGGGGCTTCGTCCTTTGGCCGGTCCGGCGGCACCCGGACGAGGTATATAGGTGATGTTCCCTTTATGTCAGGGATCTAATCACCTTCTCAGGATGCTTGGACCCTCCAAATTCTACGACAGTGTCTCCAAACACCTTCTCAGGGTATGTGGCATCAAGAGGGATTCTACCTTCGTTCTACTCAAACCACGGGGAGTCTTCCACGCACATTGCTCAGCTGTGACGCGCATCCCGAGCGGGCCGGGCGCGGTGGTGGCGGCTACAGAAAGCTGTAGCTTGGGGTCAAAGCTCATGATTAGTGGACTATCAAGAACTGGTGAAGTATGTTAAGTATGAAACTTTCATGGAGTTTTTCTCCAATATCTTCAACTCCTGGAGGTGCACTGGAAAGCTTCCCAGCTTCCCATCAAATCCGCTCGTCCTATTTCGAGGGGAAGGTGTGAGCGCGAGATGAAGACAAGACCAGGGGCAGTTGTTGCACTACATAACATGTTCAACACGTAATTCCCCTAATCACTCGGCTTGTCTTGGGAACTGGACGCCACTTGATTCTGATATGCCAACTAGTAGAAATCATTGAATTGAAGTTTGTTTCCCACCTGCCAGCTTGGATTGGTATGATTTCAGCTCTTCCCTTTGTCCTTGTGCTGTCACATGCTGACCAGCTTCTCGCCGGGTCCGCTGCCTGCTTCGACTTCAGGTCCGTTGCCGCAACAGCTGCTGCGACCGTGGCGCCCAAGAGGCGGCAGTGAAGGATGAAGCGAGGGAACCGGAGGTCGCATAAGATCTGCAAGTCCCCCGTCCAAGGACGAGAGGGGGATGCGAAGAGAGGCCGGATGTATTTGTTTTGTTTGTTTCGGGAACCGCGGCGTCCTGGGATTGGCAGGTGTGAATGATTTGTGAATGAGTTCGAGGCGAATCGTCCAAAAACATCCATGAACAAAGAAGGGTCCAAGAACTGTTTGAAGAGAATTTGATTATGGAGTTACGCGCTCAAAAGAGAAGGCAGCGCAGCTCTGAATGCTGAATCGCTAGGTGGTCCCTAGGTTCCAAGTCCCTTTCACTGCTCATCACTCCTCCGGGTAAAGCGAGCCAATCCAAACGGCCTCAGCAGTTGATTGCCAGTCATTTCTTTTGAAGACACTGCCCAAATTCCCCAACATAGCTTTGCCCCCAAAAGGCAGCGCGAGAAGATTGTAGTGAAAAAACATGCCATACCACGCCCAATAAGAAACAAGTGGGCTCCTGCTCACCGTCGATGCTTTTTACGGTCTTACCGTCTTGTAAGTCCACCCGGCAGGTGCTACAGCAAGTGCACAGTGAGTGGACGACGATGTTTCTTGTTCATGGCATAAGCCGTTCTCCTTGATTTGAGAGATCCAACGTGGTGATGCTTTTTGGTCAGTTGGCACTTCGAAAACATGTTCAGGGTGACCAGCTGGTCGGCACGGCACAACATGCGTCACTACGGCGAGAGAGGGATGGTATGAGAAGTCTGAAGTGTGGTTTTAACACACTACTTGGACAGTCGGACAGTTGGCAAGGTTATGCCTGAAGTGCTGAAGCGCCTCATGCTTGACTCAAATGATGTACAATGTACAGCATGTGTTTATCATGCTCTGCGTATGTTTTGCAACCTACTGACTGAGATGCTGATTCTCTGACTGCCTACGACTAGGTTTTGACCTTTAAAGGGTCTTTACCAGGGCCTGTTTGATGAGATGCAATTCTCTTTGGCCTGGGACTGGGAGGCCTCCCGTGCCAAACATATGGAATCAAACCCATCTAGCATTGTTCAGACTTGCCCAGCCCAAGGACCTGGGCGCGAGAGGACCTAGGCAGCGGATGGTGGAGCCGGAGCATGTCTCCCAACAGCTTTAGGTGGATTGTTGCTGCCGAGGGGACCCTAAACCCTAAACCCAACGGCCATGGAACATCATAGATCATCGGTGATTTCTGCAGGTCATCCTCCTGTGGTCGGAACCTGTGGTCAGAAACAAGTGCCTGAAACACCCCAGCTGGTCAGATTTGGAGGGCCGGCAAGGCAACATGAGCAGGACCGGCCTTAGAAGATTTAAGAAAGACCCACCCCACTAAAATTTGTCCCATCAACTCCCACATTGCGAGCAGTTGTGGCCATGTATTGGAAGTGTTTGAGCTGTGACATGCACTGGCAACGCGAAACAATCATACAGGCGTCATTTACGCCTTATGCCTTAGACGTGTGAGTTCCAACGGTATCAGGGGGATGCTTGTCACAGCAATAAACTGATGCAACTCAGGGCATCAAGCACCTAGTTCTGCTTGATTGGGAGGTCAAGCGATGCCTGAGCAAAGTTGGGCAGTGAAAGCTCCTATACCGCTGTTTGTCTTGAAATATGTACATCAAGTGTGCCTTTTGGAAAGAGGGGCGTGGCTTGATGCAAACTGTTTGCTCACCTCACCTCTATCAAGGCCAGCCAAGAGCTGGGTGGTTCTGTGGTTTGCCACTGGGCACGGCAAGTTCATCGGATCATATCAGATGTCAAGGCACGATACTTCTACTTTCCCGGTGCTGCTGCAAATCTATGTGCCACCATGCCTGAACCCTGGAAGAGTGAACATGAAAAGGTGCGCAAACAGGATAATCTGAAGCAAATCACCCCTTGCCAAGCTGCCCCCCACCGTTCCTGATGCTCCCCACCAATCGGGCGCGTGGGGAACATGGTCAGTGAGCATTCCACAGCAGCCTGCATTTGTGTTGGTTCTTTCACGTTCACTTGGATATCGGATGCTATTAGGTCTTTGGTTCCTCATTCATGTTTGACACGATCTCGCAGAACGATCTGGGCACATCGGACCTCGAATCGACACATCCGGTGACACATGTGCAGCAGTGGGCAGTGTGAATCTCCTTGCAGCCAGTGGGCTAAACCAGCGGGTGGTTCGGTGGCAGAAGAGCTGCTGAACAGCGAAACCACATGATGTGTGAGTATATCATGAGGCACTGTAGGCAGTGCAGCAGCCCTTCTGAAGCAGCTAGTAATAAATCCAAAATCCTTCCCAAAGGAGCAATCATTGACACTTATATATTTGGATCCACTGTGTAAAAGTATATACTGTAAAATTTAAATATGTGGACAAAGACCTTTACCCCGCACCTGTACAAATTCCAGGCTTCCGAGCAGATTCAGGCTTCCGCTTGAAACATGTGACATGTGAAACCTCAAGAACTGCACCTGAGTGACTCTACCAGTTGATCTGCAGTCATGCTTTCCACATGGTTTTTACCAGCCCAGATGGTGTTTTCCACGTCCCTGCAGCCATGGGCCACCGAAGAGTGGCCAGAGATCTTCGCCACCTCCGCAGTGTTGCAGCCGAGGGTCTTCTTAGCCTTCCGAGGCTGCTTAGCGATCACCTTTCTGGGGCACCAGCTTGCGCACTTGGGTGCCTGGGCATCAAACGCCTGTGAGGCACTTGGAAAAAAGATACAAAAAGTAAAGCAGGATTGTATGAGAGAGTGAGGTAGAGCCCCGCAGTTTGAACGTTGAGGTGCTTTTCAGATTCAGATTCGACCGTTGAAAGGATTTGTGCTTGCATCAGTTGTTCTGGAAGAAGTGCATATCCAATTCCGTCATTCTATGTGAAGAAAGACTTCAAATGTCAGGATTCTATGTGAACCTCTATGAATGGGCCTATGGCATCTACTTGACCAACTGGACCCTTCTGCTGCAGACCGTCTCCGAATGTCTCCTCTTCGCCTTGGCATTGCAAGGCTCGAGACGTTTGAGCTCTCAGAACTCTCCAAGCTCGAACTCGATGCCCAAAGTGATACCCTTCGCTGTGGTCCTGTGGTCCATTGTGCAGCCCATGTCGATGAGCCTTGACTGGAAGTAACGGAGCCATGTCCGGAGACTTGTTGTGCGTGAATTGAAAAAACTTATCGATATATATATATATATATTTAATATCATGATTTTTACTACAATTAACTGATTTGTGCAGTTTCCTAGTAGGTACAGGTAATTGATGGTATTTATGTGGGCACCGGTTGTTTTTTTGCGACCATCCAGATTTGCCATCGAAATTTGACCTAAGGGTAGTGACCTTGCTGTGCCTTGGTAGATCCAAGCCGCGAGCGCTTCCCCTCCCTTGTGGAGGGGTTGAAGCTCAAGGAGACGTGGTTGCGTTTTTTGCACAATCAATGCTTGTGCTGAACTGTCCCCAAAGGTGGCACGAGTAATTCGATCCGAACCATCGAAGTCGTCGAACTCAAAAACCCTTTTCACGAAGGAACTCCGGGGCTTTTGAGTAGGAGATGTGTCATGATTTGCGCAAATGTGTTTGAAGTATTGGACCCCTGTGCTATGGTCATTTCCGGCCCACATGCACCCATCCTGCTCCCTTGAACATCATATGAATATAGAAGAAACACGCACGCATGAGACTTTGACACGGAGTCCGGGAGTCGGTTTTCCTTGTTTTACCTGCGAACTTTCTTGCTGTATGGCATCACCCTTGGAACTCGGTGTTCAGAGCCGAACTCCGCCACGGGGTCACTTTGGGGGCGGTTCAGGTACTTTGCCCTCCAAAACCCCATTTGGAATCTGCGTCCCATGCGGCCACTCGGCAACGAGGTGAAGGCACGGGGAAAGGTGACCCCCCAAGTAGATCGGACGGAAGAGAGTGCGAGCGCGGGACTAATGGTGAAGAGCTCGCTGTGGGTGAATCCATGTGAATCCCCTTGCGGGGAAGATGTGGAAAAATCTCAGTTCCTTAAGGACATCCAAGAAGTGTCCAAAAACGTCTTGAAAACCCTTTCCATCGGAAGCCGAACAAAGAATCACAAACTTGGGTCTAGGAAGTCAAATTTAGGAAAACAAACTGTTACACTCTCTGAAATTATCATGGAAGTGGACAATGGAATGCCCAGTTCCATGTTTGTTGGGGTACAGAAATCTTGCCTGGTAACTAACTACGGCAAAGACTTGTCCCTTCAATCGATGCCAATATCATTTTGAATTGAAACCGCCATCTGTCGGCATGTAGTCAGGACTGACTGAATGAAACCTTTCGAACGCCCAGGAAGGAAGTTGAAAGGGAAACATATTACATATACATTATTTCTTGCTCAGCGTTTTCGATCATTCTTGCACATCTTGCACTTCGTTGGACATCAAGTGGCCCCTCCGAAATCATCCCGCTTTTTTTTCTCAGCGTTGGGCGAAAAAGACACAGATATAGATTCCTCACCCGCTGCCTGGGTAGGAAGGATATATCCTTCTTCATGTTTTCACTGTTCTGTTCACCATCCAAGGTATTTGGCGATTTTTCCTCACTTGGTGAATTGGATCCTGCTTTTGCTCAGTCGCTCAGCTTCGCCACCAGGACGTGACCGTGACCAGCAGTCAGACCGTTCATTGGACGAAGTGACAGGACATGTCAGGTAAAGCAACTCCATTTGAACTTGTTTTTCTTCGTGCTTCTATCAAGTAATGTACTTAGTACATCGTTTGCTAGCTGATTCCCTAAATCAAGCAGTGATCTTTTGCCAGACATGGAGATGTGTCAAACCAAATGCGTAGTTGGTGCCCGCGGGGTCCGTCGATCAAGGAGTTGGGGTGTTGCTCAAGCACGGACATCCCAAAATCCACCCTTTTCCCCGTTGACAGCTATCAGCTCCAACACCCAGACTACTTGTGACGGAAAGAAATGACAAAAGGATGTGTTGAACACCCAAGGCCTTCTTTTGAGCCGAGTGCCCTTTAACCTTAGCCACGTGGGCTGGCCAATGCTACTTGGCGGAACGACTGAATCCGTTTTACTGTAACCATTTCGGGGAGAAACTGGTTCTTTCTTTGAACTGTCCCAGGAGATCATGTCCTGCTAAAGTAACACCATGTAACACCACTTGAACGAATTGAAGATCTCAAATGTTTAGACATGCAACTAACAAAAGCCACACACACTGTGGACCACATTGGTCCTTCGTGTCGCTGTGTCAGCGAGGCTGTTTGCAGCAACCTATGTCGCATGGTCGGTGGTTCATTTCTTCTTGAAGATTGGCAAGAACGAGCCCTGCGAGGTGTATCCGATCAATGACACTCGACTGGAGCCGTCCTGACTGGGTGAACGGCCCAGAGATCAGCATATGGGTGAACTGGTTTAGTTCCCTCAAATGCACTCCACAGGACGTTGTTCGTGGACAATCCTGTATTCCCCTAGGCCCCTAACCTGGTACAGTGTTCCTTCAAACAGCCAGCATCGAGTGTGGTGGAAGTTTGTTTGCAGGTCGAAGTGGAAGCTGTTGCAACGCAGGTCATCGAGTCCCCCCCCCGTTGTTGTTGTTGTTGGTGGTGGTGGTGGTGGTGGTGGTGGTGGTGGTGGTGGTGGTGTTGGTGTTGGTGGGGTCGGTGGTGGAAAGGGTTTTGTCGCATAGTTCCTAACAGTCCATCTCTCGTCCCCGACCAAGTGCCTGGGCCAATGTGAGTGTTTTTCCTCCCAGCTAGCTGGCTGTCACTGCTGGCTGGCTTCATTGAAGTGCTGGTGTTTTTGATACTTCTTGATGCTTGGTGTTTGGATGTGTTTGGTAGTGCACGGGGGGCCAGGATGAATTTGTTGGGGATTTCTTGGTGGGGCTGCCTTCAAGCAGTGGCGCGGAGAATCTTCTGTGTCAATTGTCCGACATTGTAGGACTGCCCCATTTACAATACCTTCGATTGGCACCACCCGCAGAAAAGCGTGCCCATCCTGTTTGCCGCTCTGACCGGAACTCTACTGGTGAGTGCTTTGTATTCGAAGCTTGAGCCTTGGCAGCCCAGATCAACAAAGCAAGTAGGAGAATGGGCCGAATGGGCACCGCTTGGCCATTCGCACTTATTCATAACTGTTGCTCCCTCTTCAGTGGTAGAATCTGCTCAAGGGGAGCTCAAAGACTGGCAAGAACCGCAAGAAAGGCGGCCAGATCCCAACGCCCCTCCGAGGTCCATTGCCGTGATTCCTGCGCCAAGTCCCGCGCGCAAACGCGCGCGCTCTGCGCGGCATCACGGGAGAATGGCGATGTGGAGCTGTGCGGGGGGTGAAAAGCCGAGAGACCGCAGACTGCTTGAGGAGACTTCCAAGGTGCCAGGAGGATGCAGGAGATGCGATGTTTGCATAGTTTACTCGTTCGTTTGTGTGTGGCACTCACAATGAAGGTCAAGGTCTTTGGTCACAGTTGTGGGCAGATCCACTCAGCAGCGAAATACGGTCAAGATGTTTGCATAGGTCTTGTTGGAGGGTAGGTAGCTTGCTTGCTGCAAATGGAAACTCGGATTTCCATATGAATTTCATTGAATTTCATATTATATATATATGATTCGTCTAAGATGCCATTGTGAAAGTGTCCAGCAAACAGGTCCCAGACTTATAATAAACAATGATAAACCTCTAAAGCTCTAAAGACATGGTCAGACGACGCCAAGATTCAATCCAAGATGGAAGTTCAGAGGCTGATGTTTGAGTACTATCCTTGAGTAGTGTCTTTGGATGTCTTTGGTGCAAAGTCAATTCTTCAGCCGTGTCCGGCTCTGCAGTTTTGCTTTGGATGTCGCCATGGTGCAGGCGGTGCCATGCCCAGAAGGTATTGACATGTAATTATTTGACTAGAATAGACCAATTATTTGGTTGCTACTTTGGACCTGTACGGCCTAGGGACAAACAATGACAAACCAGCACGGGTATTTGACCGTAACGCAACACCGCTCGGCTAAACGCTCACATGGGCGGTGTTCGGTGAGACATGGAGGTCCGAGAATCCACCTTTTTGGGCCTGCTGAGCCATACTGGGCTGACATCACAGGGAATTGAAACATTTGCTGCCCTTTCGGACGCAAAAGGCCCTGAAACTAAGCATTTGACCCTTGTTTGATAGGAACAAGACCCTATTTTGGGTGGTTGGTGGTCCAAAATTGAAGTCATTCAGGTTTCTAGGTAGCATACAAATGCATATAAATGTGTAAGCCCTAACTCCAGTAGGCTTTCCTCCGTCAGTTACGGAGCGTGTAGAACCCCCATGTTTGCAGACAAGGCTGTCAACTATTGCTGCCGTGTGCAAGGTACAGGAAAGGTCTTCCTGGCTGTCCAAGACGTGACGACTGACCGCTAATTAGCTTACTTTGTGATGCATTGTTGGAACCCTGAAACAGACAAGGTGCTGTATTGAGAAGGTCTTAACCTATCAAAAAAAGTCCAAAGATACTGGGAACGCTTGGAACTGTCACTTTTGAAGGTTTATGTCGAAGGATTTGTTTAAGGCTTGCACAGGCTTGACCTTCTCCGAAGCACTCTTTCCATCATCCCATCAGAAGGTCTAGAATATCACTGAATGGTTCTTGTTGAGTCGATTTGGATCTCATCTCATCTTACCGCAAGCGGCGCTAGTGAGTGCGCCTTGGCGGAAGGTTGAGCCAGCTTAGCACCTGGATGCTAACCTATGTGTCACTCTTTGACTAACTCATTGATGGCTTTGCAAACTCAACATGGTTTTGTACTTTCCAAGTGCCACATTGTTCGGACAATTGATGGAGAGTAGATTCTGGACAAATAAGGGCCACAAAGATTTGCTGTGGCCACATTAGACACGGGGTTCGGAAGCAAAGCGTTTCGATCGCCCGAGGAAGCCATTTCAATGCCTGCCCAGGCAGAGCCGATGGTGGAGTGATTCAAGGAAGTCAAGCACACATATTTGATCTTATTTGTTCGATCTTATTTGATGATAGTTGGACCGGGGCATGAATTTTTTCATCAAAAGGCTGTGTATTGGTGGGCCGCCATACCTAGATGCAAAGATGGCACTGGACAGGACATGATATGACCAGTAACTACTATATAGTGATACTACTGGTAGTTGTTTGTTTAGGTTGCTTTGCTACTGGGAATGCCTCAAAAAGTAGGATGTTGGATGGTGCGTTCGGCATTGTCAGTGTTACCTTGAACATGATGATATAAAAACAACTGACACCCAAACTCCATTGACAAGTCTTGAAGGCTGACCTAAAGGGCATATAAGGGCATTAGCCTGGCAAACCCATCCTCCCCAGCGGTTGACACCAGGCTTCAAGACAGAAGTTGAGAGGCTGGATGGTTGGATGACTGCATGGGCGGAGACTGGCAGGGAAGCCATGTTTGGGATGTGTCAACACCCTACGTGTGGAAGTGAGCAACATTGAGCAGCCAAGTGATTCTGTGATAATTATTGTAAAGTCACACTGCTTTGTGGATACATGTGGATACGTTTCAATCATGAGGCGACGAGGCACGGCGAAGCAGACACTACGTGCCAGCATGTGCCAGGGCCGAGAGCCACACAAGCTGAGTGATGGAGGTGTCCTCGGACCCCAGAAATACGAACAAAACATACCATTTTCTACATAAATTCTACATATAGAAGACAATAGAAGTATATAACATTATGTAATACAAGTATATGTAATTGGCAATAGAAGAAGGATTTGAAAGCACAAAACAAACAACTCATCCAGTCCCGGACGGTCCGGGACCGTCAGCTTCGACAGGTCACCGCCCAGGACGCCTTGCAAGGCAAGGCTCCCTGCACGTGCTCATCACATTGACCGCCGCACCTGGGTTTGGACATGGCTGGGACGGGGGGCAGCAGCGGTCAAGCGCGGCCGCGCGCGACTCGGACACACGGGAGGAGCATGGTGCGACAGTTGAAACCAGGGAAGCACGGCTCATTGGAGGTGGATAGCCTGTTTTTCTGAAGGAAAAGAAGCTTAAACCAGGTGAGGCTAGTGGTGAGGCTGCTCACGCATCTCTCGTCTTATGATGGGGTTGATCATCCAACCTTGGGTGACCGCCGCGCAAGAATGGGTGAGTAGATAATCAGAATTAATCAGATATTGATGTCATGCCCATCATGTCAACTGTCCTCACGTTTGTTCATGGAAGATCAGATCAACTCCTCAACCTTTCAACTTGGTGTGTTCTTGACTGCTGTGATGCATTGCATGGATCCCAAAGTCATCCCAAATCCACACGCCCGTATTGATGAGGCCTTTGCGTGCTGGTCCATTTGGGACGATGAGACAGCGCAGGTTCTGCAGCCAGGATGACTGGAGGAAGGTGTTGTTGGTGACATAATCACACCTCTCCTCCGCTCCAACAACGGCGCTTTGCCCCTAGCGATGGCCTCCAACCTAGTAGCTTCTTGTTACTCAACCTATATAATGGCGATGGCCTCCACCTAGTGGCGTCCTAGCTACTAGTTGCAATATGTTTGGAAGAGGAGTTGAATTGCTCCTTTACCAGTTGCACTTCTACCCTACAATCCTGCACAGCCTGATGAACAAGAATATGCTGTATGATCTAATGGGAACGACTGAGGAAAGACCCCTGCAGGAGTTGAACAATATAAAGGCTCAGTGTAGCTCTTAGTCCAGGCTCCCCCCACGTTTTCCGGAGCTTTTTGGTGCTGGCTTCCAACCTGCCAGATATAACTGCCCCTCGCGTTGCATCCATCGTCCACCCGACGCTGGTTCATTCGGCTCTTCCAGGCAGGCGATGTCTCTACGGCATTTGTGGCAACTCATCTCATGAAGCAACTGGCGTGGAGACCTAGGACCTGAACATGGCGACATGGCAGCCCTTTTTGAGTTCAAGAGGGTTCAAATGGAAAGGTTCCGTTTTGGCCTTGGCTGCCCTTTGTGATGGGGTGTACGAACAACCCTTATGGCCCTACCGCTTTTGTTATGGTTTGCTCGGTGCTCCAAAGCAGAAGGGAAAGCACAGCAACTCCAACAGAACAAACATATGCTCTGAGTTTGTTGTAAATGAAATGATTTATATATATAGAGAGAGAGAGAGGTTGACCTGTGTTTTGTTTGCGTACGCCAATTTGCTAACGAGAAAACACTCCACATACCAAAAAAGAAGAACGCTGCTCATATGAAATGATTGTCACCAGTGTGTTTGACTTGGCATGCTTGCACAGGCCATCTGCGCGGTGGCCTTGGTTGGTGGTTTGGCCATCTATAGTGCTGGAGGCGGCGAGCCTGGGCTGATCGTTTTAGGCCGGTTCTTTTGTGCCAAATCCATTGATGGCTATCTCACGTTGTGGCCAAGCGCGAGGGTCACTTCCCCAATAACTGCTAGTATAGACCCACCAGTGGACCAGTTGAAAACGGGCTGTACAATGGACCCATTCAGAAGTTCGCACATGAGGGCTCCAGAGGGCTGTCTTTGGGCCCGTGGGAAGGCAGAGACCTGTCCTTTTGGATATGTCCCAGCTTTGCCAGCTGCAGGTCCTGAGACTCCAGCGATCCTGATGATCTACTTTGGCGTATGGGACCTATGGGGGAGTTTTCAGAGGAGGTCCCTGTGCGGGGGAGCACGTGTTTTTTTAAGGCCACAATCATTGGATTGGTGGTGATTGAGTTGTGCAGAGATGGTTGTGTGGTCTATTGTAGAGCCTGTTCGAAGAGGAGGAGGCCTTTGCATGATTTGCACCGCCACAAGAGCTCGAGATGTCCAGGCCCAGACGGGCATGAACCTTTACATGAAGAACGTGCTGTCAAAGATTGAGGTGGACAAGGAGGAAGGCGCCACCACAAGTGTTGAGACCACTAGAGCCTGTGCGCCAGGTCCTTTTGACCAGCTTTAGACCTCCCAAGTTGGGTCAAAAGGGATGAGGACGTGGACAGACGAATCCATGAACTCTAAACCAGGACGAGGGATCTTCCCAAAAACGTGAATGTCATACCTCCTCGATCCTGAGATTTTTATGTCAGAATTTCACCCATTATTGAATATTCGATGCTGGCTGAAAATTCAGACCTCGAGCTTCACTGATAAGCTGGCTCCGAGCTGCAGGCTGGAAGGGAATTCCCATGGGTTTCCTTTTGACCGGAATTCAGCAGTGGCTTGGCACGTAAGCTTGAAAGGGGGATCAGGCGGCACGGCCAGCCGTCCATCCATATGGCTGCCATTTTCACCATGACAACTCACAACTGAGGTGTGGATAGAAGAACCCTAGCATATAGGGTGCCGTTTAGTGGTTCATCAACCATGCTGAAGCTCGCAAATGCTGGAGGGATGTCATTTCAAAGTTGGTGAAACAGCACTGAATTTGATGGCAAAAGTTATCAAAAGTTTCACCTGTGCGACAACTGGTCCAACATGAGTGGATTTGATATGATTTGATATTAGGTGCACAAGAGCCTGTTTGCAACACCTAACATCAGATCCACTCATGAAGCCTCTACACCCGCCGGACCGCGCGCTGCTGGCGCCTGCTAGCCGAGGTTCGTCGCCTTCATGACATTCGCTTGCTTCCTGCTGGCCAGTCCGGAGTCCCAAGAAAGGCTGGCCAAGTGGACCATTTTGGATTTTCAAGAAGCTATCCAGTTGACCTTCATAGATGTATGAATCAACCAAATTGACCTTCTCCTAGTTGATTCATACATCGAGCTCCGACTGGGCATGAGACAAGGATCAATTAAGAAATCAATCCATTGAAGGGTCCATCGGTCGCTGATCCGGAGCACAAGAAGCTCATCGGTTGGGGCATGCTATAGTAGCGCCTGACTTGAATCTCGTGTTGACTGGTACATTTCAAAGGAAGAAGGGCCGACATGACAGTGAACTGACAGTGAACCTTCACAGACAGTCTGCACCCTGGCAACTTCACAGCTTTGGCGGAAAGTGATGATCGCCCGAAACATATGAAGATCAGGAAGCCATTGGAACCTGGTTTCCGGTCCTTTTTCACAAGGGTCGGCAGTGATGTTTGTGGCTGCGAGAGTGTTTGGTACACATGTCCTTCATGTTTGATCAGCTGGGTTATCAGAGTCATGTCACCAGCTTCAAACAGCTGAAGAGTAAAACAAAAGAAGTCTTGCATGTCTTTTTAGTCGTCATTTCTGGATTTTTGTGCGCTTCGCAAGGCGAGGCATGTTGATATGGTCCAAGCATCACCCTGCAGTTGTTTTAAGGGATTTGGAGCTTCTGACGTCTCGTGCTTTGGTGTAATTACTATGTTGCTTGCTCATTTTGCACTAATTAAAGAATGTGAATGTTTGTCAAGATTAATACGCAAATCGTTTGACTGGTCTACAGTAGGATGCCCTTAATACAGGTAGATGGTTTTGATCACAGTCATTGCTTGTGTCTCACAGTTGGTATTACAAGTCTTTGATTCAACCCAAACCCGCAAAGGCGACTCGAACGGGCTTGGAGGGTGGAATGGGTGGGACGTTCCGTATTCTTTTCGAACTATGCACTTGTGAATCTTTCTGGCTTTGATGGTCTGTATTTTGTATTGACATGTAAAGATTATACTGTATGTTTATGTTTGCCCCAACTAAGGCCGATTGACGTCGAGCCCATACCAGGCCCAAGCTTGAGGGTGCCAGTTAGTGCTCGCAAGACCAATGACCCAGTGACTAGTGGCTGGGATAGCATCGAGGTGGAAGGTTGATCACCGATCGAGTGTTATGAGATGTTGGGAAGCGAAATCCTCCATCTCTTGGCAAGTGCACGAGATGAAATGTAGGGATGGAGTGCTTCTGCAGACGTCCGTTTTTTGCTCAGGCGGCGAGGCTGAAAGGAAACGACCGCGCCCGGAAGCACAGACCACTTAGACTTGTCATCTCAGATGGGATGCGATGGCGGCCTCGCCTTTGGCCAGGTCTACGTGTTGGCATTTAGCTTGGCTTTCGCGTTGAACATCGGCCTCAACAATTTCAGCATTTCGCTCGTGGCCATCTCGTGACCTGACGAAGGGACGGTCACAGCACGGTCGGAAGGTCGGAGCAAAAGCTCTCGCTGGCTGGGACCGGTTTTTTTCAAACAGGGCATGGTCGAGGTCCAGAATCACTTGCTGGACATGGACTCCCCTGAATTCATCAGAAGAAAAGTGCACAGTTCTGTAGACGTTGGGCCTTTCTGTGGACAGGGCTCCCAGCAAGCCGCTAAGCGAACCGCAATCTTCGCTACTGGAGTTATTTTTTGTTACATGAGCCTAGCTAGCAACTAGTAGGTTGCTTGGTACATTGGTACATTATTGTAATTGAGGTGGATTATTAGTTAGAACGTGTTAGACGCATCAGTCAGATCCACCAACCAGAAAGAAGCAATTCGTCAATGTTTGGCGCTCAGGATCAACATGATCATCCGATCGTGCCTGCCCGTTGCCACAGTTTGTGCCTCATTGCAGCCGATATGTTTCTTGACATGTTCCAAAGATGCTGCCGCCTTGCACCCTGTCCCACCAAAGTCTTCTATCAGGCAGCTACGCAGAGCATTTTGAGCGAAATCATGGGAACGGACAAGGCGTGACGTGCAAGCACGTGCTTGGTCTTTGGGGAGGTTGGTGCTGTTTCTTAAATATATAGTTGCAATCGTTTTGCAACCTTGATTCAGTTGCCTTCTCACAAGCTTCGTCTAGTGATGGTAATGGTTGCGTCAATCCAATAAATATATATACGGTACGTGGCCCTCGTCGGCAAAGTGTGGTGCCACACCATCAGAAAACATGTCATCGCACATGCGTGACTCACTCCTGCCCCGAAAGACCAACCATAAAACGGTGTTTGCGTTCTTGGGACCCTCAGTTTTGCCCACATCTCGGCCAGCTGCATCAGTTTCTGATCCAGTTTGCTCACCAGTCAGTGCTTGGCCCGCCAGATGAAAGTGAGCCTCAGACAATGGGTGCTCATGATCGGAGGCGGGGTTTTCGGGCGGGTTGGGGAGAGACCGCAGAAGGTGGTCCCCAACTAGATAGTGGCACGGTTTCCAATACATGTTTGGCACTAGTTCACTAGTGGGGATCTACTTTTCTATCCATTTGAAGGTCTATAATAATTGTCTATAATATATAGATCCCCCTTTGTGAGTGACTGCTGGTTGACATCCTTCGACTGGGAGAGCTGGCTCGGGGTGGCAAGAGACCGAATTTGGACCCAATGGCCAGGTGTGACGTGTGCGGGTATTGCCACATGGGCAAGGGCCTCAATTGGGATTCTGACCACATGAATGGAACTTGGACAGTGCAACATCCCCACACAAGCATCTCAGAAAAGGCGTGTTTCTGCAATGTCCCCTGGGATCTACCCAGAGATCTTATGAAGATCGAGGCCAAGTCCCACTCCAAGAGTGAGGAGTCCGCCAACCTCATGCCTGGCAGCCCAATGAGACCCATTTCAGGGTGGGAGTGTCATCAAGGACTGCGGCACCAGCTGTAAACATTGCAGGACTGCTTCAGAGTACTAGTCGATGAACTTAGAAGAGTTTAGCGGCTTGCGCCTAGGTTGGGGCATTTGCAATGTTCAGGGTGAGAGAAAGTAATTAGATGAGACCATCCCCCACATCCGCCACGGAGAAATCTTCATGGTTTCTAGCAAAGAATCCAAGCGAGCACACCGCCAGATTGACTTGTACCACATACTTGTACCTCCCAAGTCCATGTTCAAGATGCTCCATGGTCAGTGTCCCTGGAACGTAGGAACGTATTGGTTTTCAGAAGGATTTGGTTTTCGAGCACTGACCCGGCACTCTGTGGCACAGCAAACGGCCAGGCTGGGCATTGGGGTGACTGTGCTCTCGATCTTCGCCGGAGCGCTGAATATGGTCCTGGCGGGCGTCATGGGGACGAGCTTGAAGCTGAATCCGTTGGGCGGCCCAGTGTTTTTTTGAAGGTTTTGGAGCCTTTATTCGATGGTCAGGACCGGAGTAATTATATAAGAATGATAATAGAACTAATAGAACTGATAGAACATAACAGAACATGATAGACCTCAAAGCAGCCGCCATAGCAATGCAAGGCGTCTTAGTTAAGCTGGAGAGGTTATTCTATATTATTCTTGATGCCCTTGGGGGCAGGCCCAGCAACCCTGTTGCCAGCAAGTCAGGAAGTGGGTCAGATTTGCTGAGGTTGGATACCACTTATCACATGGCTTTGCCAGCAGGGTCATCGACCTTAGTGGATTGTGGTCAATGATTGTTTTTGGTGCGTGGTTTTCGAGAAGTCATGAAGAACACCAGCGTGCAAAGACTAAAACCAAAAACAGGCATATGGAGAGGTATTTGCTAGGAGATGCTAGGAGAGATAAGAATTTAGAGGTCCCCCTCCTTGCCCAGGATCGCGCTGCTGGTGCCATCCATTTTAATCTCGCATCCGGTCAGCCAGTGGTCATGCTGGCATGGTGGAGCTGCCGTTGGCGTTCGACAGAATCCAAGAAGATGTACATGCAACCTGCAAGAGATGTGCATGCCAAGCGGAAACTTGTTAACACTGGAGATGAGTTGATGTTCCCTGTGAATGCTCGAAGGACGTGCCGAAGAGAAAGATCCGCATCACGAAACGTGGAGAAGCGTATCGTTTGGAGCGAGTGCTGCGGAGGGCAGAATTCTAGTAATTATGTATGCGTGTTTGACATATGTTCCGGGGGTCATCTCACCCTTCTTCCCATTTCTTGTTTCCCTTCTCCTACAACTCTCCCACCCTTGTGAATTTCTATATGCCAAACCCATCAGAATGCTCACAGGTTTCCAAAGTTTTTGTTCACCCCGAAGCGTGGGCCATCGCACCAGGCCGGGTCAAAAAAATATGACCGACTGGGAGGTGCTCAAACAGTTGTTGCCACAGCCCCAGTGGAGATGTGGTGGAGCATGTTTATTGTTAGGTTGCGGTTGGGGGTGTTGTAGATACTGGAGGAAACCGTTGAGGCTTGAGACTCATGTTGAGGCTTTGAGACTCTGGTGGCATGACCTTGACTCGAGACAAATCACTAAGAAGTTGCCTGCTGTGTTTCGGGTCTGTAAGTGCTCCCAATCAAGGGGGGTACCACTACTTGACCCGCACATTTGTGCTTGTGAGAGCGATCGTTAGCGGATTGCTTTCGGGGATTGATGGAGGTAGGAATTCCCTTAGCATGTGACACAGCCATTGAAGAAATTGATGATACAAGATGGGCCCGCGCGTGTCTTGGAATAGGCAGCCAGACTTGCTAACGCTAATGAGATCTAATGACTATGAGCTTTGTTGCTCAACTCATTCCAATCAATGAATGTGCAGCACCCCTATGCACTTTGGACACCCCTGACATCTTCACACCTTTGCCCTTTAGCGATTCGCGGCACCGCCTTGTAGGGACCGCAACCCCTACGTTTTGCTACACGTTTTCACCTCCGGCGTGCGCTATCCGGGCACGGGTGGGAAGCGAAGCGCAGGATCTACACGGTGGGTGACACCGTGTTTGGCAGGAGATGTGTAGATCCAGCAGTGAACTCTGAGACCACGTATATACTACTTTTGATGGTGAGACTACACAATTGCGATGATGGAATTCCTAGGCAATAAAGCAAGGCATTCTAATCTTGTGGAAAAGGCCAGACACGTACTGTACTGTACGGAGGCACAGTTTGGGATTGGCTTGACTTGGTTCACAGGCCTCATGTATTCTTTTCTCAGGTACTGTCATTAATTTACAATAGCCTGCAGTATACCATGGTACCAGGCTCAGTCGTTTTCAAGCACTGTGGGGCACCATTTTCAAGCCTTCCACAACTCAACGCGCACTTTCTTGCTCAGACGTGTGGTTGAGGGCGGAAGAGTTTAGGGTTTAGGTCGCACCAGGACTTCCGAACTGCTTGAGAGGTGCTGACGGTCATGGGCTCTCAACATGAGCAGGGTGCTTTTTAGATTTGAGAATCCCTTCCCTCAAGGTCCACAAACTCTCAGCCACGCATGCCACCTTTGCGGGCAACTTCAACAAGGCAGTTGGGCGGATGCCTGGAGTTTGTCTCGCCGAAGGATGGCGGCCCTGTAGGTGAACGGATCTGATTGCAGATGTTCTTCTTCGCGCCTTGTTCTCATTGTTTGAAGCAAAAGTACTTAAGTATCCCTTTGTCCATTGTATATTGATGTATATTGTTAGGTTGTATTAGATTCTATAAATGTGATTGAACTGTACTTTATGAATATCATATATATATATATACTGGATTATGCTATGTCATATACCATATTGATTGTTTTTCTCAATGTTTTGTTCTATGCAAATTTCGGATTCCTGTGTGCGAGGCTGCCACCATTGCCTTGTCATTATTCTTGGGCCTCGAGGACGGGACACATTGGAAGAAACATGGGCCGTTCGGAAAGGCTCCAGTCGTTCAGCTCCACTCGTTCAGTGAGAGGGAAGTCGCCGTTTGCGCTGTCCTCGGTTCCAAAAAAACCAAGAACGAATACCGAATACCAACTCCTGGCCTTCGATACCTTGCTCAGGCACTCCCCTCTGGCTTGTACGGGAAGATCTTCGTCCTAGCTGTCCGGGGTCCCTGTGGACCATCCGTCGCTCAAGCACCGCATCTTCCTCTTCCGTCGGCGCGGTCTTTGCGTGTTTCGGAGATCCGTTGGGTCTTTGCGTGTTCCGTTCCAAGGTCTCATGTCACGCATTGGATGCCTTTGGGAGATTGAACTTCTGGGGATATTTGATCCATGTTGATCCTTTGAGAAATACCATGTTGCAGACGCCTTCTGCTACGGCATTATGTACATGAATCAAAAATGAATCTGTTTGCTTGAGCAGTGAGCTGAACGATGTGGACTGCTGAGATCTTGGGCAACATCACGGCCTTCACTGCCTTTAGTGCTTCAAAGGCTCCGGGGAAACATGGAAAGACACTGTTCCGGGGCAATTGGGTGCCAAATAAACTTTACTATTTTGTATATAATATAATATATATATTATAAATATGTATATGCAGTTTTGACTTTATTACACATGTGAGAACATCATTGTCATGGAACATGTATTTCAAGAATCTCTGATTCTCATGTCGCCCCACTGTCGGATGCAGTATGTTGATTCGATCTCTTGCAAATGCGGCCGAAGAGTCACGAACCAGTGAAACGGACCGGTCACCGAGTATTCGGAGGAAGAGTGAACACATGTGAACGCATCATGTGCATAAAGTGTGAATCCATAGGTTGCTAATTGAAAGCAACATGAATTATACTGCCTGCTACGTGAATCCATGTTGATGTCACTTCAAGGCCTAAAGCCTAAGTCATCCGCACCCAGTGCAATATCAATTGGGAATAATTAGGATATATTAGGTTAAACATTGTACTTGCTTTTGTTCTTCGACACTGCCACGGCCTCCACCAGGCCAAATGACTGAGAGACGAGGGGACTTCCGTGGTAGCAAGTCTCGCGCCATGGCGAGCTTTCTCCCCACCAATCGGGTGACACCGTTTTGTGCAAATTGGTTCGGTAAGAAGAAGTGACAGCGGTTGCCGTTTGGATGTGAGAACACTTGCTAGTCCGAATCGTTGCAAGCCGCGGGAGCTTGTAACTGTCATGTACAGCAATTGATTTCAATAATGAATGTTGGTCATTTGGAAGACCAAGGCCCTTCGCAAATTCTGGGCAGTTGTCGATTTGAAGTGCCCATGTGGGACGTCGCGTTTTTTCGTGGTTTCAGTTTCGCACGTCCAGAGTGAGGAGAAGCAATCGATCAGTTATCAGTCAGAGTAAACTCTTTAGTAGCCCAGAGAGTAGGCATGTTAATCCGCAACATGGTCAAGTGATTCAGCTTGAGACGGAGCTGGCTTCAGCTTTTTCTCCCAGCACCATGTGCAATTTCTTTTGGGGAGTACAAAGCCGGTCATGAAAAAACACACGTTGGCCAGGAAGGTCCGCGGGACTTTTGGGGTGCGAGTAAGGTTCGCATGGGATTGTCAATGGCCTTTTTTGGTTGCATCCACGTTTGGCAATCATGGGAGTACCGTCCGGATGGAGTTCTGCAACAAATGGTAGCTTTTGTCTTGCACTCTGATTTTGGAGTTGATCATTTGGCTGGCCGCGAGCAGCCCTGTTTTGCAGAACGGATGGATCACTGAGATTCTGTGGCTCTTGGAAAAGGTTGCGCGATTGAGACTGAATGTCATGACGTTGCTTGACCCAGGCAATCGTCAGATACAGACGAGATTGGCCAATGCTGCCGGAGGTGTTGCGCAATCGTCAGATGTTGCGTAAAAATCAGGCTGCCTCGCGCGTACTGTGCTTGCCTTGCTACAGGCAGTTCTACACTGATCTCAAGGACCGTTTTTTTTTTCACCACCTCCAGTTTGATGGGTATGAAGAAAACACTTGAAAACAAGAAATCGTCATGACGTGTTCTCACCCAGCCAGGTTCCTTGAATATGTTTTGAAGAGCGAGAGTTCGCAACTCCACTGAACAGACAAGACAAACTCGACAGAGCACTTCAGCGGTCAGACTTCTAATTTGGTTATATAACGTTGATAGCTTATTTGGGGGGCAAGCCTAGCCTCTGGAAAGAATACACGGCAATGCCACATCAGCTTGGGACAAGTGTCACTTGTGCTTGGATGCAGATTTTTTGCCTTGTCGCTTGTCCTTGGAACTGGGGCACTTTGGCTCGAATACTTCCTGCAAGCTGTAGGCTTAGTACCGTCAAAGACGCGAGACAATCATAGATCGGCACCTGTGAGTAATTCCAAGCGTCAGATAGCGAGAAGATTGTGAGATCACCATCATCAATCATGGTGAGCTCAGAAGATTGCGGGACATTGTCCCAACAGCTGGTCAACCTCGCACCCGTTCTGATATAATGCTGTCCCTCACTGAAGATGCTGCAGACACAGCAAGACATCTCAAGCGGATAAGAAATCTCAAGCGGCTAATCGCAAGAAGCACAGAAACCATAACAACAACACCACCAAGAATAACAACAACACGAAGAACAACACCAACAACCATAACAACAACACCTACAACAACAGCAACAACCTCTTTTCTTTTTTCCGGCCGGGTGTCCGAGGAAGAAGATGACCTAAGTCAGTTTGCGGAGTGGACCTCAGGGATAAAAACAGCAACAACATTGACAACAACACGAACGACAAAAACAACTCCCCCTCTTTCTCCCAGCTACAACACGAGAGGCGCGCAGCGCAAAGCCGAATCGGTGTGGATTGGGGTGGAAGGGGCAGAGGAAGAAGACCGGCAAATGCACAACATTTTTCGCTACAGACATTAAAGAAAGACCTGAATTGTCAGCTGCATTGTTGTTTTGACTTCGAGGTGTTGGTTTTTGGGGCCAAGAAAATGTAGGTTCGAGCAACCTGCCAGGTTCGAGCAACCTGGCTTTCGCATGCTTTCGCTTTGTGTTCAACTACCACCTCCAGCGGTCCAGGCTGGCGATGCCACCACCGCGGCAGAAGTGCCACAATGACCAGTGCCAGTTCCTCGCAGCGAAGAACCAGGAGAAGATGGGCAGCTTTTGCTGTAAGCGATGCCACCTACATTTCTGCTGCTCAGCTCAGCTCGACGGGTAGGACATGCGCGACTTGAGACAAGACAGGGACCACCAGGGACCTCTCCAAACTCTCAAGATTCCTGAGCCGACGTAGATGTGTTCTTTTTGGCACTCCAGAACCGCAGAGGCTGACTTAGTACTGTTGTTGCCTGGCTCAAAAGCCTCCGTTTGCCGCTTGTTCCGAGGCGGTGGGACGAAGAAGCTGAAACACGGGGACTTGTGCGAGCAGTTGGTAGCGCCTGAGGGCGCTGTCACTGCTCCACTGGTGAACCCGAAACAACCTTTGGACCCTCAGGCGGGCGGTTCAGTGTGCCGCTGGGCGGTTCAGGTGATGATGTGGACATGGAGGATGTATATGGATGAAGAGGCTAGGAGGATTGTCTTGGAGGCAAAACAAATTGATAGAAAAGGAATGCAAAGGAATTCTTTAAAGTTTGGACGGTCTGGGGTTTCCGAAGGGGAAGAGGGTCAGATTGTGTGTAGTTTTTATTTGTGGCCAGTGGTATATATATATACAATGTATATATATATAATGTATATATTAGACGGGTTTATTTTAGACTCTAAGACTAAGACTGTGAGTGTTTTAGCCTCACGTGTACTTTCATACGTCATTTGCACGTATTTGGGATAGTTTCTTTTCGGAATTTGTCGCGGACAATACGCGTATTTTCCGCACGTGTTTTCGTCGGTCGATGTAAAACACACTGTAATTAGGACTTCATAAGTGTTCCACGATTCCGAGGGTTTTGGTCCGATGGCACGTTAACGTTGCGTTCAATTTGCACACCCACACAGAAGAAACCCGTCTATACGCACGCAATACGAGTGACTTACTGTGGGGTGGGGTGTGTTGGGATGTTACCGTCGGTTCAAAAAGCACACCCAGGCAGAAGAAAGCCTTCTACGCTGCGTGCACAATAGGATTGACTGAGAGTAGGGTCGGGAGGGGTGGGGTGGGATGTTAATGTTGTTCAAGTAGCACACCCAGACAGAAGAATCCCTTCTACGCTACGCACACAATACAAATGACTGAGAGTGGGGTGGGCAGGGGTGCATGGGGTGGGATGTTAACGTTCGGTTCAACTAGCACAGACAGAAGAAGCCCTTCTACGCTACGCTATACATACACAATGTGAGTGACTGAGGGTGGGGTGGGGTGGGATGTTAACGTTCGGTTCCAACTGCACACCCATATAGAAGAAAACCCTTCTATTCTACGCTACGCTACGTACACAATGCGAGTGACTGAGAGTTGGGTGGGGTGGGTCTTGGGATGCTACCGTTCGGTTCAATCAGCACACCCAGACAGAAAGCCTTCTACGCTACGCACACAATGCGAGTGACTGAGGGTGGGTTGGGGTTGGGATGTTAACGTTCGGTTCAAATTGCACACGCAGAGGAACCCCCTCTACGCTACGCTATACATACACAATGCGAGTGACTGAGGGTGGGGTGGGGTGGGTTGGGATGTCAACGATCGGTTCAATTTCACACCCATATAGAAGAAACCCGTCGACGCTACGCTACGCTACGTACACAATGCGGGTGACTGAGAGTGGGGTGGGGTGGGTGGGGATGTTAATATGTTAACGTCACTGCGCGAAACCATGAAGGAGAAGTGAATGGGTTGTTGTGGTGCTACCTTTGCCAGTGGTGGCTTGGGACCTCATACCCAAATGCCTCAGAGCGTCGACAAAAGCTCTACACGCACTGAGAAGCTTGTGCGGCTTGAAAGTGTGCTTCCAACCCGACCTGCAGACTGTTTCGATGCGACCTTTTGGACGTTGGAGATGTAGTTGGCTTTTATACAGACGTCTTCTTTTTTCGCGATTTGTCCTCCTAAAATGCACAAAAACGTTTTAATAAACAAAACGTTGCGTTTTTTCACGAACGTGTCGCAGCCTTAAGTAAACCAATGAGTTATATATATATATATTGTATAGATCTTATTGATAGATATATATGTAAACCCCGAGGGCTCCAAGTACCTTCTATCACTCACTCATTCACTCACCCACTCACTCACTCACTCACTCGCTCATCCATGGCAGATTGAATCTGAGCCATCAGCCACAGGCGCATGGATGAGGTAAACCATGAGGTGAACCGAGCCATGCAGTAGCTTGGAGGCCATTCCGAGAGAGAGAGAGAGAGAGAGAGACAGAGAGAGAGAGAGAGAAAGAGCAAGAGAGAGAAGGAGAGAGATAGTTTTGCCAAGCAGTGTGACTTCAGGGCGGGAGGGTTGGGGAGGCACTTGATGCCTGCGTGGCCTGAATGTCATGTGACGAACCGAAGATCTGGCCGGTGCCGTTCTCACTCGCATGGGCTCTCCGCCACGACGGCGGTTCCCAGGTCGCTGCAAAATGGTGTACCACGCCGGATCTTCACTGACAAAACTCAGAACCTCAGTGCATCTCAAACTAACAACGTGGAAAATGATGAGCCAAAGTCCACCGCCACAGACGGTGCAAATTAGATGCATGTTTTTGAACAATGCCTGGATAATGTGCACACAGGTTGGAGGCCATCGCCCTGACCAGTTCGGAAAAATGATGTGTTTGCAGACTGGCGGTGTTGTTGTATAGGTTGGACGCCATTGTTAGTAGGTTGGACGCCATTGTTAGTAGGCTGGTAGATTGGAGGCCATCGCTAGTAGGTTGGAGGCCATTGTCCGTTCAAGCCATTGTTAGTAGGACGAGGTGTCGCATAGGTTGGAGGCCATTGTTAGTAGGTTGGACGCCATTGTTTGTAGGCTCACTTGGACATGAAGTTTCTGTCCCTTGCCGTGCTTTCATCCACACCTGTTTTTTGTGTCTACTAGGGAAAAGGTTAAAGGATAAAGGATGGGGTGGGGCGACACGAAGTGCGATGCAATGTGATTTTAGTTTTCCTGTAAACAAGGGTGACCTGGAGAAGGGTGCCCATCTGGACCCTCAACTTTGATGCAGACGGTCGCAGCCGGGCGCTAGGGTGTACGCCTTGGTGCCGTATGCTGCTGGGTTAGGCAGCCTCGAGATGATGCGGTTGGGAGGTGGTTTGAGCCCGAAAGGAGCGTAAAAGGTGCTACCCCTGGGCTGCTCTCCTTGTACAGGTGCTGACTTGCATGCAGAAGGCTGAAGAGGGCTGCCGAAGACGAGCAACATCGAGGTGCATATTGATCATGGTTAGAGAAACGGGAGCTAGAGGCATAGGAGGCATGATCCGAAATTTTGATTGTCACGTGTTCGTTATAATGAAGGAACATTCAGTAGCAAAGCTTTCATGATGAGAAGCACCTGAGCTACAGGCATGAGGCAGGAGCAGGACCTTGAGTTCTCAGGTGTTTAGTAGGGGAACCAGCACCGGTTACTGGCAGGGTACTGCCGAGCTAGCCAGCTCACCGTCCGGCCACATCGGCGTCCAGGACGAAGAAGTCCACCCGCGTGGCATCGAAAAACGCTATGGCTGAACCGGGAGAATGACTCTTCTTAGACCCTCATGGGACGAAGATGCGGACAGTGTCACACAATGTCAGGAGATGGTGAGAGAGATGGCAAGCTATCCAACATGTGTGTGGTGGTGTCTAGTCCTTGAAATTGATGTAGGGCTCTGGCCGACTGCTTTGCAGGTGCCTTAGAGTGTTTGGGGTCGCCTACCGGCTTTGTCCCTTTTCCACAACCTGGGAGTATTAAACGCGGGACATGTTGACATATGCATGACCCCCACGGGTGTCTTGAGCGCCCGAAACGGCCCACAGGATCGGAGTGGAATCGACTTGAGGCCGAGCTTGACCGGTGCAAACTGAGCGCCATGGCGGTCGTGGGGGCGGCGACGGGGAGGAGGCCCAACCTACTAAATAAGGGCTTCGTGGCTGACACGATCTGTCACGCCAGCGAGATAACCAAAGCAATTTTTCTGATTTTGCCCTCACTCCACTCCACTCACTCCACTCACTCCACCCACTCACTCACTCACTCACTCACTCACTCATTCATTCATTCATTCATTCATGTCATTCACTCATTCATTCATTCATGCATTCACTCACTCACTCACTCACTCACTAACTCAACTCAACTCAACCCAACTCAACTCAACTCAACTCAACACCACTCCACTCCACTCCACTCCACCCCACCCCACCCCACTCCACTCCACTCCACTCCACTCCACTCCACTCCACTCCACTCCACTCCACTCCACTCCACTCCACTCACGCCACTCACTCCACTCACTCCACTCACTGCACTCACTCCACTCACTCCACTCACTCACTCCAATCACTTGTCCTTTTTGCTGGCCAACGGTAAAGAAGTACATCCCCACTGGGACAAGCCGCAACCATCCTGACAAAACAGCCATCCTGAAGAAACAAAAGCGTCAAGTTAGTCTATTGAGCAAATATTACCTTCATGCCTGGGAGGAGCTTAAAACGGATGCAATCAGTGTCTTTTATCTCCCATCGGTTGCAGGCTGTTCATACCATGGGGGGCTGAAGTCTGGCACCTTGTGTGGAAGATGCTTGGTTGCAATTAGATTTACATAATGTTTTGTTTTGTTTTTAAAGGGCAGCCGAATTGCACGCCCAAATGCCACGTTCAAAGCGGCGGCGGAATCGGAACGGGACGAGCTTCCTGCCTGGCTCTTGGAGGGATGATGATGACGATAGCCAAAGCCAGGGCAGCTGGAAGAGACCCAAGAGCTGGAATTGGGAGTCCAGTTGGGGCGCTTTTGCCATTTAACATCTGGCCATTCAAAGGCCCTGGAATCAGGCCGCAACAACCGGCTGTGCCATGAACTGTGGAGTGGAAGAAAAGGGCGGTGTCAGTGCATTGTTTAAATCTATTTCTGCAATGCTTGTGTTCATGAAGTACAGTGAAGTACAGTGGAACTGCATCACTACACTTTGAGTTCTTCCTGCAACACTTGTGTTCAATTTTTTTTGCTGTGTCATTTAAGTGCAATGCAACGACGTGGCAGGTGCCTGCAATGTTGACTTCGACTTGGAGCCGGACTCCGTCTTGTCCTCTGTCAGGTTGGATAACATAAGCTGCTGCTGCTTCATTGTGTTTGAGTTTCATTTCTGACTGCATCTCTTGCTAACTTCTCAGCTTTGGTTTTTGGTGATGTGACCAACATGTCAGTTCAGCTTCAGTGCAAGTTGCCTGTGTTGGGTGTAACCTGGTCAAGCTTCGCTGTGTCAATTGTTCGCTGCTCCAACAGGTATCTTTATCGAGCACACCTTGCTCAAAGGTTGTCGTGGCCCCAACATTCAACTTTGATGTGTGAATTTTTCTGATGTGTTTCGAGCGG